CCAAAATGATTGCCCAAAAGTGCATTTTTATAAAATTGTTGAAAACATCGAGGAGACAATGACTGTTATCAACCCAATACGTTATTATAAAGACATGGCGCCAAAGTGAAAGTTGATGTGTTGTTTATCTTAGAGGTGTTTTTATACCTTTATCCACTAATTACAAAAAATGATTATCAACAACTTTCTTACTATTTGATGGACGATATTGTTCATTTTATTACAGTAAATATATGTAACATTTTGGGATTTCAGCACACACTTTTATAAAGAAGAATAAAATAACTATAAACATTAATAAATTTATTATAATTTATACTATAATTTGTTTCAATAATTGATCAAATGGTGGGTCTGAAAAGTAAAGAAAACGACTCAACATTTGTATATTTCAAAAGAGACACACAACGACAAATACGGCTTCGATACGTTGTGTCAAATGAATCAATTCATGTTCATTCTATTCGGATTTGAGCATAATTAAAATGATAATTATGGTTTTTATAATTATTTAATAGTAAATTTATTAATTTTATTAGTAAATTTTAGGTCCAGATATGGTTAACTTATAATAATAAATAGTTAATTTAATACAGTCAAAGGCGTCTATTTGTCGTAAATCCAGCAGAAAAAATTATCTATTTGTCGTAAATGAGTGAATTTTGTAAAAAATTCTATTTAATATTAAAATTTATTTTTTATAAAAAATTTAGTTTTTAATTCAAAAAAAGTTACAGATTCGAAAACAAAATATTAATTTTAATTGTCATACACTAAAATGATTGGCCAGTTGTGACAAATAAGCAACTTCGACAATTATAATTTAGACAAATAGACACCTTTGACTATAATTAATACAATTCCATTTTTATCTTTCACAAATTCATTAATTATAATATAAATCATAGATTGACAATATATTAAACATTTAAAAACAAAATTATTTTTCATTTGAAAATATCCAAGCAAAATTATTATATAATGCACTAACTTTACTAATAATCATAATTTACATAGTTGGTATTGTTTTATCGCAAACATGATCTTAAAAAAATGTAAGTTCTTTTTTTATTAATAATTA